GTTCTTTTAGCTCTTTTCTTTGGTTAGTTTTTGTTGTGGCTTTCCCCTTACTCTCCTCTCTAGATTAGACCTAATGAATAAATGATACCAGAACTAGACTGCCTGATGCTGTACCTGTAAGTTACAGTTCTTTAAAGATTCAAAGGCAGGGCTGGGGAATGTAGCTGAGTGTCACAGCGCTTGCCCAACATGTGTGGGTCCTCGGGTTTGATTCGCAGCACAGCAGTATATGAATAAATACAGAAATGGTGTGTGAAAATGTTGCCGGCTCACGTAGGTCCTTGCTTTAGTGATGATGGAAATGAAAACTAAAGTGACAGGCAAAAGTTGGAGTTGGAAAGAGAAGATAGGCGAAGGACTCCAGTTTGAGTAGTAGCTGCCAGGGGTGGATACTGACAAATACGATCAGACTTGTAATTGAAAGAGAACCAGACCAGGTTTTATCAATTTTCTGGGGTGGGCTAGAAGCTTGTGATCAGGCCCTCAGTTCTCTCTTACAAGATGCGTCCTGAAGGCATTTTGCTGGCGGGGTCTCCATGCGACGACTGCTTTTGCTTGACCTGGTCTCATGAGGTGCTGCTGGAATCCAGGGTGACATTCAGCTTGGGGTCATGACTAGAGATTTCTGGGAGCCACTGAGTGGCCCTAGAAGCTCTTTACCTTGGTGCAATGTTTTTTTTGGTACTGGGGATCAAACTTGGAACCTTGCGCTTGCGAGGTAGGCGGTGGAACCACTGAGCTAAATCCCTGTCCCAGCACTCAGTCTTTTAGGGGTATGAAATTATGTAAATGCAGAGATATTCAATCTTGTTTTGGTAACGTTTAGACAGCTGTACATAGATGTACACAGATGCGGAGCTGAGGAGGGACTTAGTTTTAAGGTAACAGGATACAAAATGAAGGTCAAGCTTTTTTTTTTTTTTCTGCTTTTAGTTTCCTATTGGGCATCGGAAGGCCTAAGTGAAGAGTCATGGTTTTTAGCAAAAACCACTTTTAAATCTCTGACCATCTCAGAAGACAACACGAAGAGTAACAGGTTTCATAAGTAACAGGTTAAGGCTCTGGGTGTTTGTTCTTTGTCCTCTCTTGCTACATTGAGCCTGTGTCAAATGGAGCCTGCGCAGGAAATAGCCCAAACAGCTACTCACAGACTGGGCCAACGGCTGGGTTGTTGCCCAGGGAAGTGGGCTTAGAGGAGCCTGTATGCTGAAAATGCCCTGGGCTGAGACACAAATTGTGTAGAGAAGGCAAAAGGAAATAGGGTGGAGCCTTTTGTGTTCTGAAGGAAAGAGTGTTTCCTCTGGGAAAACAGCTCGAGCTACTTCCTTCCTTCCTTAGATTCTGCTGTCCTGCTCAGTATGGTAGTTGCCAGCCAAAGGAAGCTATTTAAAGCTAAATTAATTAAATAAAACTAAAAATGCAAGCCAGACATGTTGGTGCAAACCTGTAATCCCAGCACCTAGGGAGGCTGAGGCAGGAGGAATACAAATTCCAGCCTAGCCCGAGTAATTTAGCTACTTAGCAAGATCCTTTCTCAAAACAAAAACAGATAGGGTTGGTGATGGAACTCCATGAAAAGGCCCTGGTTTCAATCCTAGTCCAGTAAATAAATCAAATCAGTTCATTAATCACAGCAGCTGCATTGCAGGGTTCAATAGCCACATGTGGCTAGTGGCTAGCGTAGTAAACAGCACAGTTCCATCATCATAGAAAGTACCTTTGGACAGTGCTGGATTTGGTTATCAGAGTATCAGGAGTGGGTGCATACGCTCTGGTCTTTCCAGAGTCGTATCTCTAAGGGACCTTGGGCACATAGTTAACTACTCTATTCCCTTCCTGCCATCCCTTGTTTTTTGAGACAGGGTCTCACTAAGTAGTTGAAGCTGGCCTTGAACTATGTAGCCCAGGCTGGTCTCAAACTCACAGCAATCCTCCTGCCTCAGCCTCCTGAATCCTGGGATTACAGGTGTTTGCCACCATGTCCAGCCTCCCGCTTCTTACACCAGGTGCCAGTAGCCAGACTGTACACAAACAACCAGGCTCAGGAGCTTCATGGTCTCTCCATCCCTGTCTTGCCCTCTCTGGCCTGTTCTTGTCCTTGCTCTGCCCTTCTAGTCCCTGGAAAACAAGCTGCAGAGAAAACGTTTCCATTAACTTTGACCTAGTTTTCTGATCACAGATTCAAAGGGGAGGAGCCATTAAATTTTTGAACAGGTGAGAAAGGAGAAGGCCAGGTGAAAGTCCCCATGGAAGTAGGGAGCGTTAGAGACAAAGTGGTTATGACAAAAAAAAAAAAAAAAAAAGAGGGCTATGAGAAAAAAGCAAACGAGCTATGGAGAATGTAAGGTAAATAAGCAAACAAACAAACAAAAAAAATGAAGATTGAAATGTAAAAGATTTTTTTTTTCTTGGTACCAGGGATCGAACGTGGGCCCTTGTGCTTGTGAGGCAGGCACCACCAGAACCACTGAGCTAAATCCCTGACCCTAAAAGATTTTTTTTTCAATTCTACGTTCTGTTTAATTCACATTAGTTTTTTTCAGTACTAGGAATTGAACCCAGATCCTTCATGCTGAGCTACATCACCAGCCTTTTTTGTTTGTTTGTTTTTTTGAGACATAGTCACTAAATCATTAAGTAGCCCAGGTGGGCTGGAACTTGGGATCCTCCTGCCTCAGCCTCCCAGTGATGGAATTATAGGCACACACCATTGTGCCCAGCACACTTTGATCTTATATAGGATTTTTGGGAACCAAATAGGGTTAGATCTACCTGCAAAAATTTAAACAAGAAACCAGAAACTATTATACATTGACCACTGTCATCTCAACTTGTCATCTATTACTCATTTAGTAATGAGATCATTTCAATTAGTGATGACATTGTGGTATCAATCTTTTTTTTTTAAGCCACTATGTATTTTAAGCTGGCCTTGAACACACTACATAGCCCAGGCTGGCCTCATACTGTGGCAGTCCTCCTGTCTCAGCCTCTCTATAGTACAGGCATGCACCACTGTGCCTGGCTCAATCTACTATTAATACCTAGAGGCTGGCTGCACACACCTGTATTCCAATATTCTGAGGCAAGAGGATCTAAATTGAAATCCAAGCTGGGAAAATTAGCAAGGCCCTGTCTCAAAAATTAAGGGTGGGGCATGGTAATCCCAGCATTTGGGATGACGAAGAGAACTGCTCCAAGTTCAAGGCCAACCTGAATTACATGAGACCCTGTCTCAAAAAACATTCAATTTTAAAAGCCCAATCTAAACTGGAGACTCTTACAAAACCAAACACACACATAAGTATTAAAAATTTTAAAGGGCTGGGATGTAGCTCAGTGCAAAGATCCTGGGTTCAATTCCTAGCACAAACAGAAATGACAAAAACCCTGTAAGAAAAAAACAAGAATATTCAGCAAGCATTTACTGAGTTGTGACTATGGTCCCAGACAAAACATGTGCTAGGAACTGAAGAGATAAAAGCTGGAAACTGCTAGCTGGGTGTGGCTGAGGCAGGAGGTTCACCGAGTTTGAGAGCAGCTCCGCTTAGTGGGTTGACGGCCAGCCTGGACTTCACAGGGAGACCCTGTCTCAAAACCAAACCAAACCAAAGCCAGTGTTGAACTTCATAGTGAGACCCTGAATCCAAAAACCAAGAGGAAAAAGAAAAAGTTGCCTCCAAAGCATCTGACACTCATGACTCTAAGACTCTCAAGTCCTAGTTATTCTTGCTGGTGCAGCCAGAGCAATGCTTACAGTGAAAAACAAGCTATAATAAAAGGCTGGATATGGTGGTGCACACCTGTAATGGTAGCACTTGAGGCAGAGGCAGGGGGATCACTGTGAGTTCAAGGCCGGCCTGAACTACAATAGTGAGACCATCTCAAAAATAAATAATTTTTAATAAAGAATCTCTGCGGTTGGGGGTGTGGCTCAGCGGTACAGTCTCCATCTACTAAAGGTTCCTGGGTACCACAAAAATTAAAAAACACATACCAAACGGTAGCACACAGCATAATCCCAGCACTATGGGAAGCTGAGGCATGACAATTTCACATCTGAGATCAGCCTGGGCAATTTTAAGTGACTTAGCCAGAATTTAAAATTTAAAAAAAGACTAGGGTTGTAGCTCAGTGTGACGACCTTGGTTTCAACCAGTACAGAAAATGAAGGGAGAAAGAAATGCAACCTCAGCACCTTCCTTCCAAATCCCCCATAAATGTGATTTCTCTGTAGTCAAGAGCTCATTAACTGCAAAAATGAAGAAATTTAGTAATTTTTAGCCGTGGATGTGTAAAACTAGCTTAGACCAGCAGAAGAACCTTCTACAATTCTTTAGTGACCCAGAAGGGAGACCAAACTAGCTTGAATCCCTGGCCTAACCACCCACCCTCCAGGCCACCTGAGTACCCTAGAGGTGAGGAGGGCTTTTCCACCAGGTCTTCAGTAATGGGAAATGGGAAGCAGGGGAAATTCCTTCAAGGACACCGCCTCATAACTTTTGGTATTGAACTCAGGGTCTGGAGCTTACCAGGCAGTGCTATGCCACTGAGCTACATCCCCGGCCAACCTTCTCATAACTCGCCAAAGCTACCCCAGATACAAGCAGAAACTTTTTTTGCCATTAAAAAAAAAACTTTTTATTTTTAAATTTTTTACAAATATCCCACACTTGGGGTGAAAATACATCTGGTTAAGTATAAAATATAGTTTTTAATCATACAAAAAGTTACACAAAATATAAAAACAATGACACCACCACCTTCAGCCCACATACTTTCTGGCTGCAAAAACTCTCAGAAAAGGGTGGATGAAGCTCAGTGCTCTAACACAGGACAGTGAACAAAGTGCTTTGGTTGAGGGGGACTGATCAAGTGCTAGTGGCTACAGTGAGAAGAGGGGCTGATGTCCCCCTGTAACACTGGGCACAAAGGGGGCCTGAGGAACCCTCTAAGTTTCTCATGGCAGTGTCTGGAGGCTCTGATCACAGCATTGGGGCATTTGTTCCAAAGTCCCTCTGCACACTGGGACGAAGTCTCAAAAGTAATACTAACACATCTGTGCCATTATGCTTCCCCCTAGAGACTAGTAGCTTACATTTGAGATGGGAAGGAAAAACAGAAATTTAAAGGCAAAAAAAAAAAAAATGATAGGAACTAAAGTGCCGAGAGCATCACCTCAGAATCAATTCCAAGGAGTCACATGAAAAAAACCAGATTCTCCCATGTACATAAGTTTGCAACAGGAGAACACAGTGCAATAACTCTAAAAATGGCTTTTAAGACCTTTGGTGGTACGTAGTTGCTACTGCTTTACACCAGGTTAAATTGTATTTAAGCAAAGACACATCAGAGGAGCTTCCCCAGAACTCACAGGAGCAGTACTCTCTAGAGTTCAAACCCAAATCATCCCTGGAGCATTTTTTTTCTTTTCTTTTTTCTCTACGTGTACAAAGCAAAGGGAAACACTGATTTTAAAAACCTCTTCTAAGCTGACTCATATGGCACAAGTCTGGAGTTTGATGTTACTCTAACAGCCTGTAATTCCCTTCAGAAAAACTTTGGGAGGACCAGGTTGGGTAGCCATTACTAACCCTGATCAAAATAGTGAAAATGCCTCAATTTTCAGGGAGATCTGAGAAAATGGAATGGGCCTGAATTTTTCTAGTGTGTTTTTAAACCCATCCAGCAAACACTCCTATATCCCAACACTGGCGCTGAGGACGAGTCCACGCCATCTGGAACCCGAAAATCGCATGCTGGTCAACGCCTGCGCACTGGGGAGTCTGAGGCTGGAGGATCCATATCCCACTGCAGAGACTATGGAGTCTCTGAAAAAGTGAGTGTCCAAAAGAGAGGTGGAAAGAAACAAGTAGGTACAGCTGCTTTTCTTCCACACGCTCACTGCACATTGTTATTGAGGATGCAAGGATCCACCTGGAAATAAAGCACAGACCAGTTCACTTCGGGAAGGAACCAGAACAGCCTCCTTTCACAACCCTTCCAAGTCAACCAGTTCCAGAAGGCTTAGGACAAATACGCATAAAAATGACAACTCTCACCTCAGTGTATGTGGGTGGTGGCATGAACTTGAACTCGGGAGCATACATGAAGATAGGGCTATCCTGGGACCCATCGGTGTCATCCAGCAGTGGAGTGGTGGGGCTCTCCAATCGGTGGTCTTCGGGAATTATGTCCATATAACAAGGAGGGGCTACGGTGAGAAAATACAAGGATAAGAAGCCTAGCCACGAAATGTCAAACCATCACAACTTTACAAGCCAAAGTAGACCAGAGCCAAGAGAAGACATGAGGTGTGAGCTCACCTTCTGGGGTATCGGGGATGTTTAGATCTATCCAGCTCATTTCAGAGCTAGCTCGGCTGGCCATGCTGGATGTCCGGCTGCTCAGACCCGACCTGCTGCCAATCACCAGGGGCAGGTCAAGGATGACTTTCTTGGAGCCAGGGACGCTCACATAGATCTAGAAAGGAAGATGAGCATTTGTTAGATGAGAGACTGGGGAAAACACAACTCTTTGCAATAAACAACTGCTTTGGCCACCCCCACCCACTCACCAGCAAGGAATATTCAACACGGAGAATGTTGCAGCCCAGAATAGATGGTCTGATCTTCTGAACCCGAAGGCTCTTGCCTCGCCAGGAGGAACATGTTCCTGAGATAATATGATTGCCTCTCACTGATGACAACTTCTGAGTAAGCACCTTGGTCTGGCCATTGGCAAGGTAGGTGTGGCGGGCCACGATGGCAGCTTTGGGGACCACAATGCGGGAACATGTGTTCTCAAAGTCAGCGTGGATGGAAATATCATCACCTAGCACGAGAGATGAAAACATAAATAGTACAACCTCTCTTCTGCTCCATGTCTTTAACCCCACTCCCAAGCCCACACCAAGTCTTTACCTTCACAGAATCCTTTTCGGTCAATTCGAGCGGAGACAGACACACGCCCATCAGGAATGAACATGCAAGAGACTTTCTTCTCCTTTTTAGCAGACACTGGTGCCTATGCAGAAAGGAAAAAAAGGTGTTTTGAGCTATGTCAGTCTCATCCCCAAGACTCTAATCATTCTGTAAGCAAGCACAACAGAATCTTGAAAGGAGCCTCACCATTAAATCTGGGGAATTGATATCCACGAGATCCATCACTTCAAAGTGTTTCTTTGTCTCTTGAGTCGGCTGGCTGGGGCGATCAAGAAAAGCCTTCACCCAGTAGTCTACACACCCATATTTTCCTTTGAAGGATGTTCCCAGAGGCCTGTGTCAACAGAAAGGGTGTGGGGGGGGTCGCTTTTAAAACGCTTTCCAAAAACAGTTCAGTGATCACAGAAGCAGGAAAAATTTTAAGAGTCCAAAGATGCATTTTTAGCTGATAACCTACCCTTCAGGAAGCTCAAAGCTGAACTTGTACTCGTACTTGTTTCCAGGTCTCATGATCACCATCTCGTTCTCACCTGAAAGAAGTGAAAAACCAAGTAACTGTTAGGTTTCTTGTTACACAACGCATCTGTGGGATGAGGAGAGTGCCCCGCAACGTATGCAAAACGGATGGAATGCTCCCATTTTCATCCTTTACGTTCTTAAAAGATTCCGGATGTACAATTTCTGGTCGCAATTTTGAAAGGCTGGCCCAAGAATTAAGCAAACAAGCAACTTATTTCTACAGAAACCTTTAAACAGCCGAATAATAACGGGGTGGGGTGGTCACGGACGTGTTTACAAATTAAAACTAATAGGAAGCAATACAAATTCAAACCACGCAACCTGGGCAATTTAAAACGTTCAGGGCAGGCTCAGAGTACTGCTTTCAGAGCTCTCCCCTAAGAAGCATCCACCCTCCAGCAGGACTGGCAGGGGCCGCTGCTCACCTGTGGGCTGGTCCTCCAGGGTGAGGGTGTCCTCGTAGCGCAGGTAGTCCAGGCTCTGCTTGCACTGCTGCGATCCCTGCAGCCACAGGACCTTGGCCACGCCGCAAGCCAGGATCCTCACGGCTTTGACTCGAGCGACTTCGCACACCTCCACGACCACCCGGCCGGCCACCTTCTCTCCGCTGCCGTACACCTTTTCGGGGTCGTTAAAGACCACCTCAAAAGACTTGATCTTCTTGAACATCACCATGATTGGGCGCAGGCGGCGAAGGAAGCTTGAACAAAACGAAATCCCAAATCCAGGCAGCACCCTTTTACAAAAAGTGAAGATTTCACTCTTCCTTAAAAAAAGCGAAAGTGTCCTTAAGCAAGAGGGGCTTTAAAAGCAAAATTTAAAAGATGCCCACAAAGGAATCTTTACTTTCAAAAAGGTGCCTGGAAATATTTTAAACTGCTGGCTACTACGCTGAGAGCTTTTGAGAAAAAACAAAAATTCTCTCCCCAGCTGCTGGAAGGGAGCGCGGATCTCGGTAGAACAACCGCTAGCGAACCTTCCCAAAGACGAAAGCAGAGTTACCAGCCCGGGCCGGAAACCGGCTCTATATAGGAGGCCGAGCCGGCAGAGCCACGCGAGCCCCGGCCCCAAGGCGCGTGCTGCCCTCGTGCACAGCCCTCCCATTGGCTGCCCGAGCCGTGTTTACCAGA